GCCCCCAACAACAATCCGGGTCCTCATTTTACCCACCTCGGAAGGATGGAAGGCGGAGTCAACCCTGAGCTGGTGAGAACTGCAGTCAGCGGAAGTAGCCTGCAGTACTGCATTTAACCACTGCGCCACCTCGGCTCTGTTGTGAAATTGATGAATGTATTTCACTTGTGAAATTGATGAATGTATTTATTTACTTACAGGACATATATGACCGCCTATCTCACAAAGGGACTCTAACTTACAATAATCTATAAAACATAGTGGAAAAAACCCCCGAAGATGTCCTTCCCCCCAAGGGCCACACCAAACATTGTCCCAGCTGAAAACCCCACCCCCCTACCTTCCTAGCCCAAAGCTTGCTAGAAGAGCTGATTATAACAGCTTCCATTTTAGCTGGAGGAGTAGAATAAGGGGAATCTGTTGGGAAAATAGTTGAATATCACGAAATTAGACAATGGGTCATCAGGAAAGTCTTCTCGATAAACACACAACCTTTTAAAATACGCATTTCACCCCTTTTTAATAACAAAAATAGAGAAAAACACAAAACTAATAGTGATAGGTTGTCAATATGGAAAAAAAAACATAAAAAGTGCTATAACATAAAAGTAAAAAATATAACAAAAATAATTATGTCATAAGAATCTGTTAGAATTCTACATATATTTGTCCAATGCAGATATTTTTCAGGATATAGTTCTGATACTTTTATACAACTATCTCTTTTAACCTACTGTATTTTGTAAAAAATCAGTCCCATATTTCATTATACTTGTTGATACATAGTCTGTGCCTAGGCAGTCAGCTAATAAGTGGTAAATACAATCAGATCTTCAATTATAAAGAGAAATGGGCCATGAATTTCTCTTTCCAATGCTGTAATTTCAGTCTTTGGGCCCTAATAAGGGCATGAAGAACCCATTTATTTTCCCTGATTGTCAAATTCATTTCATTTATTAAATTTCATTTATTAAATTTATAGGCCGCCCAATCCCGGAGGACTTCCATGTATTAGGTAAATGGGTGGGGTGCTGCCAGCATTACTGCTGGTTTGGCGCGCAAAAACTTATTGTCGATTCCAGCAACCCAGGTTGCCAAGTTCCTACCGGTTTGGACAAACCGGTCCAAACCAGTAGGAACCCACCTCTGATTAGGTATGTAGTTCAAGAGAACACCCCTCTGAGGGTTTTTTGTTAGCTTTTGTCGCACAATCATATTTATATACCGCGGGAGGGGAGGATTTTCACCCTCCCTGGGCTCCAGAGGCTTTCCTGAAGCCCGGAGAGGCATAGGCTTCAAGAAAGCCCCCGGAGTCTGAGGGCAAAGAACGGCCCAACTCGAAGTTCAACAACGAACCTCTGGTTTGCCCATTGGGCTGTTTTTCGCCCTCCCCAGGTTTCAGGAAAGCCTCTGAAACTTCTGGTTGGCCCATTGGACCTGTTTTTCGCCCTCTCTAGGCTCCAGAGGCTAGACTTCCAGGCACACAGGAAGGGTGAAAATCAGCTGGCCAGTGCATGCTTGCACCCAGAGCTGAGGGCTGCCTTGCCAGCAAATACAGCTCCATGTGCCACCTGTGGCACGCATCCAATAGGTTCGTCATCACGGCACTACAGGATCCTTTAATACTTGATTCAACTCATTTCTTAACATCTGCATATCAAATTGCTTTATATTAATAAATATCTGTTCTGACCCCCCTCGTCCCACACCAACACACACTCCGANTAGATTTGACGAACCGCTTCTACCAAATAGGTGCGAACTGGTAGGAACCCGCCTCTGGAATGCGTCTAATGCTGTTTAATGTTTTAAGCAAAGGCTCCTGTTTTTTAAAATATTAATGTTTTCTTATTGTTTCTCCTAGTTTCCCCTCCTTTGCTTACATGATTGTGTAAGCAAGTTATGCACAGATAGCTTAATTTGATATTTGAACCAAAAGATATGCTCAAATCAGAATTGTATTCTAGGTTTAAACGGGGATTTGTTGGCTTGTGGACGCCTGTTCTTTTAAGCACAATAAATCATAATCTTGGGTGTATATATTAACCCATGTTTATTGACATTGTTTTGTAAATCAAAGGTCCTGGTTTAAAGTGCTAAGCAAATATGGTTGCTAGCAAACATTTTAAACCTAGAACAATTTAGGCAGCCCAAGAGCAAGTAGCATGGATAATCTGTCAAAAACTAGCTGAACTCTTTTCTTTTTAAAGCAAACTTTTTAGAGATAAAATATATGATTAACCATTGTCCTGCATTTCAAAATTCACTAGTAAGTTTAGTGGATATTTTATACTTGATTTCAAGCAGAAATAGATATATTGATCCCCAGTAGAGGAAATGAAAATCATTTAGAGCTACGAAGAGGTACTTAATGAAATAGTTGAGCCATTGTCCCTTGTTCATTGGATTATTATCCAATGAAAGAAGTTATTATTTAAAGAAACATTTCTAGAAATCTAAATCTAAATAAGCCCTACCCTGAAAGTAAGTCCTGGCTTGATTTTTACATGTGTGCCCTACCCCCTCAAATAAGCCCTAATTATCCAGAGCCAGAGCTGTTATTGGCTGCAGAAAAAGTTCCTGAAGGCCTCTAACAGCAAAAATGAGGCTGGGGATGATGTACCCAAGTGAAGTGAGTCAGTGGACGACCCCCCCCGAAAATAAGACCTGGTGCCTTTTTGGGTGGCAAAAAAATAAATAAGACAGGGTCTTATTTTGGGGAAAACAAGGTATATACTGTACGCTAATTTGCATGTGATGCAATCTTTAAGTTGCAGATCTGTGGTTAAAGGGCTGAACTTCAAGGAATCTGAAAGTTGTGTTGCAGATGGAACTAAGGACCCAAATACTTTTGCCCATAATTAAATGGAGGAATTCAGTGGAACAAGCTGTCCTTGGGAGGTTCATGTTATCTGCAATATATTTTGCATGCAAAGATTTAGATAACTATTCTCTGATTATTGGCCAGGCTATTTGCATCTTGGGAATTAAGAGACAAAAAACATTTTGGCAAGTATCAAGGTACCTGCATCTGAGTACAGTTAGGTTTTATGCCACAAGCAGTGCAACTCACTCAAATGTATTCTTTGATATATTTTTCCTGTGATTTTTTTTTCTTAGACAATCTATTTCATCTTGACTCATCATCATTCCAAGATAGTGGCATCCCTGGGGCTCTCTGCTAATGTTAATATGGTACAGAAGATTTAAAATTAGGTAAGCCCCTTCTGTTCATATATGACATCAGTGTGGGTCAGCAGCTTCTCCTTTTACACGTTAAATGTTTTTGCTGGTCTTTTCTTTCAGCTGATGTTCACAAGAAGAAGAGTCACGTGATGTATGAAGGCAAACATATACACTTTTCTGAGGTTGACAATAAGCCGTTGTGCTCCTACAGCCCCAAACTGTGTAAGCAGAGACGTTTAAATGGCTACGCCTTCTGTATCAGGCATGTTCTGGAGGATAAGACCGCCCCTTTCAAGCAATGTGAATATGTGGCGAAGTACAATAGCCAACGCTGCACCAACCCCATCCCTAAATCTGAGGACCGTAGGTAAGTGACGGCAGCAGCAACACTAAAACAGAGTATCAACAAGATAAGAAAAGTAAATAATGGGAGCTATATCAATCTCTGAATGATCAGTGATATTAATGAGAGGCCACTTAGCAATAGCAATAGCAGTTAGACTTATATACCGCTTCATAGGGCTTTCAGCCCTCTCTAAGNTTTTACTTTTGCAGCCTGTTTCTCAATAGGCAAATTTCCAATGACTGTCATTTTACTAATATAAATACAATGTCTTATATTGCCCCTTGGACCATAAATTGCTTCTGTTATATTTTTCTAAACCATTCATTTTGCCTGTTTTAAATCTTATTTGCTTATCTAGTGGCCTGATAGTTGTTAGTTCTCCTTTCAGGTGGCTAAATATATTAATAATATTGAAATACGACTTTAAACAATGCATATTTTCCAAAAATATAAACATTTCTTGAATCCCCTCAAAGGAAAGATGCTCCTCAATTCTATCTCAATAGTATTTGACGTACTATATGTACATATACAGCAACAAACAGTTGAATAAAAGGATTAATTGATCAGAAATTAAGGATGGATAACTTGACTTGTTTCCCAGATACAGCATGAGCAACAACTTGCCAATTCCAGTTGCGGTCGCTAAACAACACTGACCTGTAAATAGATAGCACTGAATAACATTGTCTCATTCTAGTTCTTGAGTGCAGTGCAGATGGATTAGATCTTAAAATGGATAGTGCAACTGCTCTGATCCTCTCTTACCTCTTCTCTTAAGTTCTTCTAATTTGCTTTTTTGTGACCTGCAAGCCTTAATAAGGTGTCTCTAAAAGGATAAAAGTAAAAAGAGGGTCAAAGAAGTTAAAATCAAATGCTTTAACTTATTCGCAAGTCCTATTCCAAATAGATACATAAGGTAGGTTTTTGTACATATCTGGTTTCTCCTCAAACAACAAAATTTTGTTCTGCCATTTTTAACAGACAGCGATAATTACTGCGAGTGGGAGAAGTGTGAACCACAGAGATTTTGCACCAGTGCCACTAAACTTTATTTTTGATGTTGTTATCGTGTGTGTGTGTATTTTTAAACAGCTCAGCTATTCTGTTAATGGTATATGTAATAAATAATAATATGTGTCTTTAGTTCTGTGTAAATAATCTGAGATTTATCTTATACATGTTTACATATACTTGCATTACAAATTTTTTCTGGCAACAGCAACGGAGCTTATGGCCTTGATGAGGCTTGAGATATCGGAGGCACTTAGCAGTACTTCTTCTGTAGCAGACAGCAGTGAATGACTTTTTAAAAAATGCCCCCAAACTTCACAAAACTGCCTAATAACAGGCTGCATGGGCCATGTGTTGAGCAGGCCTGATACGGACACATTCTGGCAGCTGAATGTCTTTTCCAAGGCCTTCATGGCCTTCAAGTGCTGTTATGCAATCTATTCCTGGACTATTGGTAGTTACACCTAAAAAGTGGTGAATCTGTCCACCACTTCAGTATTTTTACTTTCAGTTTTACGTATGATTTCCTCTACCTATTGTCCCACGTTTCCTGGTTTATATTTAATTTTATGGATTTTTTTAAAATTTGATTTTCTTTGTAAGTCACTAGTCATCAGCTAGTGCAAGCTGTTCATACTTCTTCATCCAGTTTTTTAAGTCCACGCTCAACTTCTAATCTAGTTTCCCTTACCGAGGTGGCGCAGTGGTTAAATGCAGCACTGCAGGCTACTGCTAGATCAGCAGTTCAGCGGTTCAAATCTCACCGGCTCAGGGTTGACTCAGCCTTCCATCCTTCCGAGGTGGGTAAAATGAGGACCCGGATTGTTGGGGGCAATATGCTGACACTCTGTAAACCGCTTAGAGAGGGCTGAAAGCCCTATGAAGCGGTATATAAGTCTACTGCTAAGTCTACTGCTATTGCTATATTGCTACTATATATTCAACATATGTCGTACATAGAAGCGCATACTGATGTCTTGGGTTTTCTCAAGTTTCCTGTATGCACTTGCAACAATGCCTCATATTCTTGGTTCACTGACAAAAGGGCGAACAACAAAAGCGCACCCGACTAAACCGCGGTGACAAAACTGCGAGTTCTAAAGCGCACCGACGAATGAGTGCCAAAGTGCGGTGACAACAGCGCGGCGACAGAAGCGTGCTGTAAACCTAAACCTAAACCTAACCCTTACCTTAACTTAAATCGCACTTCTGTCGGCGCGCTGTTGTCGCCGCGTTGATGGCGTCGCGTTGATGATGTTGCGGTTTTAGCCCCGCGGTTTTGTCGTGCGTGCATTTGTCGGGTCACGATATTCTTCAGTCTTTCCTAACGCCCGCTTGAAATTTTGCCCATCTCCTGTCCATGTAGGGCTCTAATCTGTGTTGGATGAGTATTGTTTTGCTAGCATGTGAAATGAAGGATAGTGTACAGTTTTGTACATTCTGTTAATTTTCCTTTTTTGATATTGGAGAGTTGATTGATTCTTCCAGTCTACAATCCACTGTGTCATTCTCCAGATTTCCTGGCATAGCTTGGTTAGAACCTTTATTGATTCTTCTTCTGTGGCTAGCCCTGTTTCTGTGGGTGTTCCATCAATTCCTGTAGCTTTTCAGTTAGATCAGAGTGCTGATCTGACTCCATCTTCTAACTTTAGAGCTTCTTGTAAAGAAGGGAATACCTTCTAAGGTGTCTTGGATGTTGACATCTCTACTGTATGGGATGTCAGTATAGTTTTTTCATTTATGTTTGATGCTCTTTTAATCACTTATCACCTGTTCTTTAGCATACTAGTTGAAAGTTTGAACCTATTTTTGAGTTCAGTTAGGGAATTGTGGTTGATAAAAAATCAGCTGTTATGATAGTGGCTGAAGCTGATAGCTTGGAACACAGCATGCCGATCCTATTCAAATTGTTTATCACTTTGTATGTGGTATTAGAGAGCCTAGTGACCCAAGTGTATTGCGCTGATATCATTGTTGTGTTATTTGTTGCATTGGTTGGTTTTTATCTTGCCTGTTATGTATGTTATTTATTAGTTTGTTATAATGTTTTATCTTGTTTTAAAACTTTCGTAGCCACCCAGAATCACATAAATGAGATGGGCAGCCTATAAATTTAATGAATTAATGAATGAAGCAAAACCAGCCCGTTGGATTAGTTATAGAAACAAATTAATAATTATTGGAAATAATATAGTTCAAGTTACCAGGGGAAGATTCCAGTTACATTTTGTATGAGCTGCTTTGGAACTTGCTGATGTTTTTAAACTGTGTGTAAAATGAATTACAATCATATACCTGGAATAATTTTAACATAAATGAATGAGCCTCCAGTAAATCTTATTCCAGTTATCTTATCTGGAAAAAGAGGTTCCTGGCCACCTTTGCCATTTGAGCATCCAAGAGTATATTGTAATGAAAATATGCTGTTTCAAGGGACGGTATGTTCAAATGTAAACTATTTTTCCTCCAAGAAGTCTTGCATTATATGTTCCAGTCTACAAGTTGTAAGAGCCGAGGTGGCGCAGTGGTTAGGGTGCAGTACTGCAGGCCACTTCAGCTAACTGTTATCTGCAGTTCAGAGGTTCTAATCTCACCGGCTCAAGGTTGACTCAGCCTTCCATCCTTCCGAGGTGGGTAAAATGTGGATCCGGATTGTTGGGGGCGATATGCTGACTCTGTAAACCGCTTAGAGAGGGCTGAAAGCCCTATGAAGTGGTATATAAGTCTAACTGCTAACTGCTATTTTCATCATAGTGTTCCTGAAAACCAGGAAGAGCAGGGAAATTACAATTCTGTGACTGGTGCTGTAATTGCTAAAATGTAGTAGAAGAATCCATTGGATCTACTTCTAAAGTTAAAACCTTGCAAGACAAAGTACAATCCAAAAATTACATCATGTTGGGGGAGGGAGAGCGGGTTTGTGTGTTTGTGTGTTTGACTATCTGTAATTATAGTGTCTTGAGACCTGGGTTATTCTGATTCATTTAGCTCTGCTTGCAGAATAGTGTAGAAGGAAACTTTCAATGGAGTACAAAAATCATGTTAGGCTTTATACTTCCTGCTTGACTGACTGACTGAC